CGTCGGCACACCGTGGCAGATGGAGGCGAGTTTCTCCCGTCAGCAGGCCGTGCGGCCGGCCTTCCCCCAGCGGGACGCCCCTGCAGCTGGGCCGTTTAACACCTCCCTCGCACCCGTCTTCCCGGAAGGCTTCGGCTTTGCCAGTTTTATTGTTTCCTCGGTGAGAGTTCCCAGTTCCCCTTGCTCGTTACCCACGCTCCTGCTATCGGTTTGCAAACCGTTTGAGGATACGCATCCTGGGCCGTATGTGTTCCTGCAAACGCCTCCTCTCCGCGCGTCGGCTGCTCAGCGCGTCCCAGCCCTCCCCTCCCTCCCCTCCTCCACCACTGATCTCCTGCCCCCTGCGCGCTCCTGGCTCTGCCGGCAGCACGCCGGCCTGCTCCTCTCGCCGGCGCAGACCTTCGGCCTCGCACCCACAGCTCCATCCCGGTGACTTCTCGCTGGGTTTTCCCTGGAAGCGGGGAGACAAGAAGGTGGCTCTGCGGCTCTCCTGCCCTTTCCCTGAAGTCCTGCAGTCTGTGCCGCGTCGGTGGTCCGGCGTCTCATTGCCAGAAAACGGGTAGAGTGTGAGGCTTTGCTCCGGGGGAGCGACGTGCCATCCATTCCCCGTGCCCGTTGTGAATCTCTCACCCTGTCCTTAGCGTGAACTCACCAGGGATGACTGCAGACCCTTTTAGGATAACTGGAGAACATTCTTTTGGCAGTTGCTTCACCCTGAAAAACAGTTGGGGTGTCCCTAGCAGCTGCGGGTGCCTTGACTGTAGATTGAAGATAAGAGGTGGGTACTCTGGCGCTTTGGGAGCTCGGTGCTCAGCGATCACTGGCCGCTCCTGCTCCTGCTCTCCGGCTCCCCCATGGCCGGTCCTTTCTTTGGCGTTGATTTCAGGGTCCGGTTCCTTGGGTCCTGTGTCACGGGTCCCTCTCCTGTCCCCGGCACGCCTCTGGCTTCCACCTGACGGCCATCTGCTGCTTTTTTTTACCTCCTTTATTCCTACCTCAGCAGATGAGAAAACGCAGCGCACGTGAAGCAGGTCGCAGCAAGAGCTGCGGCTCGATGGCAGGAGCCGCGTCTTCTCTCCAGACTCCCCCCGGAGCCTCCCCTCCCGGGGCCGGGGTGGGGGACGCTGGCGGCTCCCAGGCGGGGTGACCCCAGCTCTGCTTGCACGGTGTCGTTGCGGCAGTAGTGCTCCTGTGCTCGGGCAGGTGCGGATCCGTGTCGGGTAACGTGGGCTTCCTCGTGCTTCACAGCTACACGCTGGAGTGCAACTACAACACGGGGCGCTCGGTGAACAGCATCCCCGTGGCCTGCCACGACAACGGGCGGGCCAGCCCGCCGCCCCCTCCCGCCTTCCCCTCCAAATACACCGTGGAGCTGTTTGAGCAGGTAAGGGGGGGTCCCCAGCAGTGGGGTGGCTGGGTGTGCGCAGCCCTGCCCTGCCCTGAGCGCTGCGGGCAGCGCTTTCGGCACCCAGGAAGAAACTCTCACGTTCCCTCCTGCTTCTGCGCTTGCGTGTCCCTGTGAAAACTCCTGCGCCAGTCCGTGGCGTGGGTTTGGAGGAGTGTGCGGGAGACGGGGTGTTCTCGGTGTCAGTGCCGTAACCTGTCGGTATGTCCCGGCCCAGCCTGGTCTGCGGGGCCGTCTGTGCCTGCCCCCACCACTAACCCCAGCCCCAAAACACTTCTCGCTCGCTGGCTGGGACTGGAGGCTTCTGCCCTCAGCCTCTGGGGCAGCCCGGGGTTGATCCCTGTGCATCTCGCACCACTGCTGGCGTGCGGGGTCCCCGTTCCCTCCCCGCTGAGCGCGGGGCTGCCTGCGCTTGTACAGCCCGCAGCAAGAGGCAGCGGGTCCCTGTGGCCGTGGGCGCCTGACTCGCCCTTGCTCTGCACGTGTGCTGTGCGCCCGGAGACTTCCGACGGGAGCGCTCTTCCCGCCGGGGAGCTCGGCTGGAGCCTGTAACGGAGAGGAAACGAGCTTCGGGGGGTTGTCTGGGATTTGGGGGTTGGGTTTTCTTTCCTTTGTTTGTTTTCCTGCCTCAAGTCCCAGGGAGCTGCTGCTGTTTCTCGAGGCCTTTCTCACCGTTTGCCTCTCGCCCTGGCAGGTCGGGAGAGCCTTGGCCGTGGCAGCGCTGGACATGGCAGAGTGCAATCCCTGGCCCCGGATCGTCCTGTCGGAGCACAGCTGCCTCAGCAACCTGCGAGCCTGGATGCTGAAGCACGTGCGCGGCATGAAGGGCGCAGGCGGGGGCCCGCGGAGGAGAGGAGGTGCCAGGACCCCCCCCCGGAGCTCCACGTAAGGGCCTGCCGGGTTGAGTGCTCAAGAGCTGCAGGATAACACCAATTGGAGACGATAAATGTACTCCAAGTGAGTTACCCTGCAGCTAACGAAGCCAAGGTTTACTCGCTTGCTTTCCCGCCTTGTCGGGGCCCGTGCTTGTCCCTGCAGAGTTTGCTTTGTGAACTGCAGGTGTAGGTATCCCTCGGCTCCGGCTCGTCGGCAGGCAAGAGGGGCACGCGGCCGTGCGGGGTGAAGCTGTTTGGGATTCACCTGCCCCAGTAGCTGGGAAGTGATTGTCTGCCTGCAGAGAGAACCAGCGTCTCTTCTGCTTCTCTCTCCCCCCAGCCCGGTCCAGCGCTGGACTGGGATGGATTTGGGACTGGGGGTGAGGGAGGGGGAACTCTGAAACGATGCTGCTGCCCCAAGGCTGCCGGGACAGCGACCTACAGCGAGGGGGACTGGGGTCTGCTGCTGCTCAGGGGACAGCCCCTTGTGACGTGGGCTCCGTTTCTGTCCCCAGCTGCTCGCCAGCCACCGGGGGAGAAGTCCGGGGCTCTGACGGAGGTGGTGTCTCCGCAGCAGCAGCAGCCTAACGCTCGGTGCCTGGGCTGCGGGGCAGAGCTGGCTGGGAAGGACGGGGGGGAGCGCGGAGGGGCCGGTGGAGGGGAGCCCCCTTCCCACAGAGCCGGGCTGAGCCTCCTGTCTCTCATCCCCTCCCAGCGGGCTCCCCACCTCGGCCTCCGATAACGCCCTGTCCCGCATGAGGAGCTTCAGCAACGGCACCAGCGGGAGCGGCAGCAGCCAGCAGGACTCGCCACAGATCAAAGCCTCCTCCAGCTTCACCTTCAGCTGCAGCAGGCCCTCGGGTCCGGCCGCTGCGAGCCAGAGTCCTCAGAAAGGCAGCGCCAGAGCCCCGGCACCAGGCAGAGGTAAGCTGGGCTGGGGACCTCTTGTGCGCTTGATCCAGTACCTGTCGAGCTGCTGTGCGAAGCCGCAGCCCTGAGGAGAGCTCTGTGCCAGCATAACCGTGTGCTTTTACGTAATAAAAGTGGTTTTGCGTGGAAGAAGTGCGTGTGAACCGCCGCCCCGTCCCCTCGGAAGGGTCCTGGATGCCGTGCTCAGCTCCGCACTCCGTCCCGAGCGGAGCGGCCCTGGCTGGGTCAGGACAGACACCGCACGGCGAGACCCGTGGCTTCTCCAGCCCGGCTTCTGCAGGGAACCGAGGGGGCCCAGCTGAGCTCCTGCCCGACGGCTCTGCAGCCCCTGGCTGGGCAGAAGCTGCCCGCTGCTTCTGTTGCACCGAGATTAGAGGGACTCCGTCCACTGTGGGCTGCCGGGGGAGACGGCGCTTCCCGCACTGGCGGGGGGGGGGGGCGGGGGGGGGGGGCGGGGGGGCCGGGCGGAA